GTGCCGTCCCTTGCTGCCTCTACGGGGCGATCGATCTCGATCCCGAGAACGGTGCTTCTTCTTTCCCAGCCTGTTGCTCGGCGAGGAAGGCTGTCGGGAAGGCACCGGAGATGTAGACTGAACCGAAGAAGCCCGCCCGGTGGATACAGGGCTGAAAGGGGCTAAACCCAAGCTTGTGGTAGCTTGCACAAGCTGGCTTGGCGTAGGTGACGATATGCCAAGGGGTAACAGTGGTTCAGTTTGACGAGAACGCGGGGGGGGAAGGTACCCCCGACAAAGAGTTCTTGTCCCTCGAGGAATCTTCAATGAGGGGAGAGGGGGCCCTCTTAGCCATAGCAGCGGATTGTGGGGTTGGGTCCTTAGGTTTAGCTGCTCCTTTCCCCTTATCCTTCTTTCCCGCTTTGGACGATGGATCAGCCATTTTAGAAGCGGCTGCTCGTTTTGGCCCAGAAGCCTTCTTAGGGGGCTTTGATATAGGCACATCCGCAGAGCTTGTAGCAGGGGGTTGGGATGGAGGGCCTTCGGAAAGGGAGGTAGAGGAAGAGGCCGGTAGCTCCATAGCAGTCGGAGTTGAAGCCGACAAGGCAGAATTCCAGAGATGGAGCTTTAGTCTCTGTTGCCGCGCCTTGAGAGCCGCCTTAGTGAATGCCTGACAATGAGTGCAATTTTGGGGAGAGTGGGATTCCCCTAAACAGAAAAGGCAGGTGTCGTGGCCGTCCTGGAAGGGGATCTTAGCAGCGCACACGACACAGCGACTAAAGGGCCCAGATGGTGGTGGAGGCATAGGCCCCGGGAGGGTAACGGCCAGCAGAGAAAAGGCGGGAAACAGAATAACTCACTGCGCGAAGCGCGGAGAAGTCCGAAACGACAAGGAACCAAAACGGCAGGCAGAAGAGAAGTCCAAAAACAGTCCAAAAGTCGAAGAATCCGTATAAAAGACTAGTAATCGTAGGAAAAGCAAGAGCTCAGCCGAGAAGAACCACTTCGCACGGCGGAGAAATGGAACTGAGCGTTGGGTGGGCGGAGCATGCGCAGTGTAGGTCATTCTAACAATGTTTCTTTTACAGAGCTCTCGAATGTTCCGAGGAGACCAGCGCAGGCGCTGATTTAACCCTTATTGTGTGCATTCACAGAAGACCACGCAGAAGAAACTAAGACTTTAGTTGAAAACTAGCTTTAATTGAAAAACTTCCTAACTGTAAGAGCCATATAACAGTGGAACCAGTGGCCTTGGGAGTTGGCGAGTGCTCCAACACTGGAGGCATTCAAGAAAAACTTAGATAATCCCCTGACAGATATGCTTTGATGGTATTCCTGCCTTGAGCAGGGGGTTGGACTGGATGGCCTTGCAGGCCCCTTCCAACTTCACTTTTCTATGATTCTATGATAATCCTCTTTTAATTTCAAAATGGAAGGACTGATCCAGAACCCAACAACATCTTTTTCTTCTCCTTTAAGACAAAACTCACCTGTTTCCACATTTCATCTCTTTTTCTGTTAAAATCTCCTGTTCCTGGAATGTCTATGAAGGTGATGCCTTCCGGCACCATCTCAGATAATGGAAGGGCCAATTCCACATATTTGATCAAAGGCCAGCATTGATTGGGGTGATCGTCCCCAACACGAATATAAGGCTTCAGGGCTTCGGAGAACCTTCCTACCTGCAACAAAATGGTGGGTACATCAACAACATCTGTCTACTTCTGTCAGACACTTTGATTCAGCAATTGCTCCCTTCTGACTAATTTCCTAGGTCTCCAGTGTCAAGAATGTTAAGCCAGATGGTTTTGATGTTAGAGATTTTGTTGAAAATATCAGGTATTTTTAGCCAAGTTGTCTTCATTCTTATTCTCCATCTTTGGAACTCCCTCCCACTGGAAGCCAGCCTGGCCCCATCTTGGCTCTCCTTCTGCAAGCAGGCTAATACCTTTCTCTTCAGGGTGGCTTTCCCTGAGAGGCTGGCTCTCCGAGTGGGGTTTTTAGATGGCTTGTTATGCCTTACTGCTTTGACTCTGTGTGTGTTTTTTTTTTTGTGGTGTTGTTTTTGTTTACCGTGCTGTAGTGTGGTATTTGACCCCCTTCTAATATTTGTGTACTTACTGCTTTTAGCTTTAATATTGTCTTTGAGGAGAAAGGCAGGATAAAATCATTTAAAATAAGCAAGCAAGCAAGCAAACCCTATGTTCTCTGTCTGCACCCAATCACTCCACACAGCTTGATTCGCTCCGATTCCTCTTTATTTCAAGATGCTCCTCATTGTCACACAACGCCTCCCCACCCAACCTCCACGCAACACCAGACGGACTCACAACCCGCTCACCTCCTTCTCCTTCAGCTGAATTGTTCTCTTGGCCGGGATGGTCACCTGCAGTTTGGCCTTTAACAGCTCTTCGTAACTTTTCTGGTCCGCTCCCGTTCCATAAAGTGCACGTAGCTTTCTGGTGGCATCGTTGACACATTCTTCAAATGAATCATCGTCTTCATCATCCTTATTCTTTTGCAAAATCTTCACCAGGTTCTTCAATTCATCCCTCCATTCCTGTCAAACAAGATCCACGAAAACCTTATTATGGTTAATACTTTCCTGAAAAGGGGGGGAGGCGGGGCTTTGTTGCGGTGCTGCCAGCAACTCCAGAGAAGAGCTCTCTGGAAAAAACTGGAACCCTCCGGCCCGGGATCCCCCTTTTGAAATGGGGATCAAAGGAGAGTCTAGAAGAAGTCTCTCTGAAGCAGATGGTGAGCAGCAGAAGGAGAAGAAAGGGAGGCAGACCCGGACTTTTTTCTTCTGAAGAAATCACCATGCACGGACTGGAGCAGGCGCCATTTTTTGGCACTGAGCCGCGAGGAACCCTTTACCGGGGGAGAGGAGAGCAATCAATATAAACTAATAATATATAACAAGTAAGTAAGCCGAAGCCTCTGATTTATGAAACAGCCTCATTAAGCTGAAATAAGAATGAAAATATTTGGCTGAAAGAATAAATGCAGCGGCGGGTTTATCTTATCAGTCTGACTCAAAAGCGAAACTAAGCTTCTCCAAGTGAACTCTTAAAACACCAGGCTGATTCTAAAGCCGAGAGTCTGAGATGGAAAAATAAATCTTATGTTTCTGGAGAAGAATCCCAGACAGCAACACCGTCTGACTGGATTTAAGAGACTTCGGTGGATGCGGTGTGGCTGGGATACGTTACTCTTTGCCTTCTCTGGACTTTGTGAACTATAAATAATAGAATCTGGTGGTTTTCGGGAGAAGGAGCTGACGTGGCCGACTGGACTAAGGAGCATTAAGGGGTTAATGAAGATCACAAGACGAGCTCCAAGGACAATCTACTGGACAGTTTGAGACTCTGTGACTGTTGTTTAGTTTGTCGGACTGCAGACCGCGTGTGAGTCTAATAATAGAAGCTTGCTGAACTCAGGAGAAGAAGAAATAACTGCGTCACGGTTCTAATTGATATTGTATTTGCTGGGCTAAAAGTTGATTTTTATACTACAATATTTGGACAAAGATTGGAGGGAGATCTAAGGGGAGGTTTATGATGAGGGGTTTGAATTGTTGATAAAATTGTGGAAACTGTGGAAGGATTTCTAGGGGGTGATTATTGTGGTATTTATACAAACCCCAAAGCCTGAGATGGACCCCAAAAATTCAAAAGAACAAATGGAGACTTGGTCTGTTCAATCCCAAAGCTCTGGAATAGTGGTGCAAGAAATAGAAAAGGAATGGCAGATTAATATACAAAGGCTAATATTAACAGGGTTCCAGCAAGTGAACGCAGGTCTTAGCAAATTAGAAGATTTGATGAAAGGGACGAAAGAGGGGACAGTAGATGCCAAACAAAAATTAAATGAAGTTGTACAGACTTTAGAATCGTCTGTATTAGACATGACACCAGGTAATATGAATGCAGTAGAGAGTTATCCAGTGACCCATGCAGCTTCCAAAATTAAAAAGCACTATGACAAAAATCTTAAGGAGGCAGAGATACTGAAACCAGACAATCTTATGGTGAAAATATGGGAAGTGAAAAAAATGGATATTCTGTCAGATGGGCTGAAAGACTGTTCAATTCAAAAAGAAACTGAACGATGGGATGTATTGTATAAATGGCAGCAGCTTAGAATCGTCTGTATTAGATATGACACCAGGTAATATGAATGCAGTAGAGAGTTATCCAGTGACCCATGCAGCTTCCAAAATTAAAAAGCATTATGACAAAAATCTTAAGGAGGCAGAGATACTGAAACCAGACAATCTTATGGTGAAAATATGGGAAGTGAAAAAAATGGATATTCTGTCAGATGGGCTGAAAGACTGTTCAATTCAAAAAGAAACTGAACGATGGGATGTATTGTATAAATGGCAGCAGCTACCAGACAATGTTGGAATAACATAGAATAAAATTAAAATTAAATGATAAGATAAAAGCAGGAGGGTAATCAAACTGTGAAAAAGCAAAAAGTTGATATGTATTAGTAATATGAATTGATTGGATGATGTTATACTTTATGCTCTCCTATCCCCCAAAACCATTTTTCCTTCTCTATCCCCTCTTTCTTTTTGTACCCTTTATCCCTGTTCCTAAATAAATAGATAAATAAATAAAACAAAAAAAAAAATACTTTCCTGAAAAGGGGGAGGAGGGGGGAGACAGCCACAATATTCTGTGCTACCCTTAACACCTGGTCTTTTTTCTCCTTCAGGAATAACCCCTGGGGGCTTGGTAGGACCACCATCAACTGCCTCAATCAGGATCAAGAACCTTCCTGCCAATAGAGTTCTGTTACTCCTGCCATCACCTCAGGCGGTGTGATCTACTCTCGAACAATCCTTGTCATTAAACCCAAACCCACCCTCTCCATCCCCTTTCGCGTGGTTTCTAGTTATGGTCTCAGGAGCTACACAGAAGAGGCCTTCAGATCCCGCTGGCAGATCTCCTTGTATCGCAGCTGGGGTCTCCGTCCGGGGCGTTTTCCCTGCACTAATTAACACTAGGGCAGCTGCTACCTTGAGATCAGGAAGTTCTTCACATCATTTATCTGTACGGATTCTCCCAGCGCAGAAGGAAGATGTTTTCAGTTCATTAATTGTTTTGGGAAGGTTATTACTGCTCCATCACGGCTTTGTTATTTTTAGCAGCTGGTTTTATTGTCCCTGTGCCTTCGGGAGAAGACCTGCGCTCACCTCTTGGGAGAGAAGGTGGACGGTCGCCTCGTACTGCTCACTCTGGCTTCCCTTCACCTGCACAATGCAGGACGTGCAGGTTTGGTTTCCCGACACAGGCAGGAACAGCTTCCTCCCTAAAAGGGCATTGAGCAGGGAGGTCTTCCCAGCCCCTGTGCGCCCCAGGAACCCAATACGAAGGGGCTCCAGGGAAGTCTTCTTCTTCAACGCATCCAATCGTTCCCTACAGGAAAGAGGAGCGTGAGTTGAGCCAGGACACAAGCGGGATCAAAGTCACAGGCCCCCAAAACTTCGCAGGATAGATGCCACTTCCGGACATCTAAGCCTAGAACAGGGATGAAGAATAGAAGAAGAAATGAGAGAGAAAGCACTCCTACTCACTTGAGATAGTTCATTTCTTCTGGCATGTTGCCCCGGGACAAAACATCAATCAACTTCCCGTAGGTCATGAGGAGAATCCTCCTTGCCTTGGATTCACACATGTCATCTACAAAACACACACACACAGAGGCAACACAAGGTGGATTTGTGGTTCAAACCATCACAAGGTGAATTTGTTGGAAAAACAGAGATCTTGCATGGATTGTGAATGAGCATGAGTGGGAGGGAAAGGCTGACACCCCAATGCGATGATTCTGCATCGGGCACTCAGCCGACTTTTCCTTCTCAGTTGTCTGCTTCTATTGCCCTCTTCTTCCTTGTAGGTGAAAACAAAATGAAACTAAAACGTTTTTTAAAAGACAAAATCGTCTGTCTGTCTGTCTGTCTGTCTGTCATCTATCTATCATCTATCTATCATCTATCTAATTAGGTCTTCCTTCCTTCCTTCCTTTGATCAATCAATCTATCTTAATGTGAGCTTTCGTGGGTAAGTTACACAGCATCAGACATAAGAGAATGAGATATAGCATGGCAAATATTTATTCCAAATGATTGGGAAGAAAGTCAGTGAGACATTGGGATGTACAGACTCACATGGCTGCCCCTTCTACAGCTCTCCTTCCTTGGCCACCATTATAGAAGCAGCAAAGCATGTAGGGGCTCCTGAATGTTGAAGATTCCATTTTGCCTCTTTTCCTCCCCCTTCCGATTATAACCCTAACTGTAAGTAAAGATACCTTTTCTACTTAAAGAGGCTTCTAGGGTGACTTTTATTAAAGAAAGATGTAGGTTTTGTGCGCAGCCAGGGAGGAAATTGTGAGACTGGGCTGACCTCTCCACATTTCTGTGTTTGTCCACATTGGGCTCTGCTAACAAAAAGAATAAGCAAAGTCCTTAAAACCCTTTTAGTAGGAAATCCCCCATAAGGACCTGAGGACACCTGCTGAAGGTCGCAGATTTCCAAGGTCACTCTAGGAAAGGAGCGAGGATGAGATGGCAAACGAGGCACCCAGGAGGAGGCCGAGGCCGCCCTTCCCGTGTACTTACACTGCTTCAGGCGGTCTTTCTCCTCTGATTCAAAAGCCTGGTATTTTCTCTTTCGCCTGACTGTCCTTTCAGGCGTGCCGCCTTCCGCAGCCCCTGGTCAGATTCATAAAGGGGAGCTCAGTGAACAAGATCTCAAGAACAACCAACAATTAATTGCTCCTTCCCTGAACCCATCATCATCACTTTGTCCCACGAGCAACAGGTCCGCAAGATTTCAGGCACAGATACTTCCCAATCTCCATCTGCTTCCATGGGATATTTTTCTTGGCATTAAAACCTAAACAGAGTCCTGTTCCGCGAGACGTCTGCCTAGTGGCGTTCACAGACTCTCAACACTATTGGCCACTCTGTGTCTTCCAGCAAGTCTTCTGGCTAGTGCTTATGTCTATAGAGAATAATAGAAAAGTGAAGTTGGGAGGGGCCTACAAGGCCACCCAGTCCAACCCCCTGCTCAAGGCAGGAATACCATCAAAGCAGATCTGCCAGAGGATGACAGCATCCAAGTTTTTCTTGAACGCCTCCAGTGTTGGAGCACTCGCCAACTCCCCATGAGGTTATGGGTTCCACTGTTGTACTGCTCTAACAGTTAGGAAGTTTTTTCCTGATATTCAACCGAAATCTGGCTTCCTGTAACTTGAGCCCATGGTTGCGTGCCCTGCCCTCTGGATTGACTGAGAACGGATCCTGCCCCTCCTCTGTAGGACAGCCTTTCAAATATTTGAAAAGTGCTATCATATCACCCCCTCGGTCTTCTTTTCTTAAGGGTAAACCTGCCCAATTCTTTCAGCCTTTTCTCATAAGGCTTGGTTTCCAGCCCCCTTATCATCCTTCTTGCCCTCCTCTGAACTTGTTCCAATTGGTCAGCATCCTTCTTGAAGAGCAGTGTCCAGAACTGGACACAAGACTCAAGGGGAGACCTAACCAGTACTGAATAGAGGGAGGCTAGCACCTCGCGGGATTTGGAAACTCTACTTCTCTTAAATGCAGCCTAAAATAGCAGCCTAAACAGAGTCCTGTTCCATGACACGTCTGCCTAGTGGCGTTCGCAGACTCTCAGCGCTATTTATTGGCCACTCCGTGTCTGTCAGCATGTCTTCTGGCTAGTGTTAATGTGTATGCATGTGTATACATTACCTTGCACTTGAGGGGATTCTCCAAGAGATGCTGCTGTGGCTTCCGGTAATCCAGATGGACCTGCTGTTAACCCAGAAGGAAAGAGGGGACACACAGCTGTTAGCCCAGAAACAGACTGTACCAGACCTCTCGTACTGGGAGATTCAGTGCACCCTTATGCTGCCACGTCACCCATTTCGCGGTTCGCATTCCTTAATGCTTAGACGAGAGGGCATCTGGTCTCCACTGCGACGTTCTGGTGCTGAACACCCCACAAGGACTGTCTAGTGCAGTGGTCCCCAACTCGCAGAAGCCCTCACCACCATCTCTGCTGCCCAGGATTTCTGGGAGTTGAAGTCCATGAACATCTGGAGGCCCAAGGTTGGGGACCACTGGGCTAGTGCATCGTTACAGGCCCAATCTGGCTGCCTTAAAGTCAATGGGACCAAGTTTCCTTTCGTCTCCTCCTGCCCTCTTGGTGCCAACCAGGATCTAACAGTTGTTCGGGGGCAGAGCCTCATGGTTTTAAAAACTTCTCTATGGAAGGACTCAAAACAGACTTCTCTGTCTGTCCAGAGACTGGGGACTGATCCAGCCCCCTTGAGCAAGAAGACGGGAGACCTCCTACCCCAGGGTGGGAGAACAATGCAGCTGGGTCCTTTGTAAGTTCTTACCTCTTGGTTCTTCAGCTTCAAACTCCATCTCTTCGTCATTATTCCTGACGGCGGTAGAGGCGTTGGGATCCCGAGAGGCCATTGTGCAGAAGGATCAGCTGGAGAAGTGAAACACAAATAGTATATGGAGCTCAGATCTGGAAAGCAATGTGTGAAGCAGAGGAAATGCTGGAAGGAGGTGTGCCGTCCAGAGTGGGAGAGAATGCAGAAGAACCAAGCCTAAAGTCCTTACAGAAGGAGACAGAGGAACTCATGTGGACTGAAAGAGAATCAAAAAGCCCAGGAAAAGATCTACTCTGTGTGTGTGCATCTCTCTCTCTCTATCTCTGTGTGTCTGTCTGTCTGTCTGAATCTCTATCTCTCTCTCTCTGTGTGTATGTGTGTGTGTGTGTGAGAGAGAGAGAGAGAGAAAGGAGAAAAGGAGCAGATGACACACAAGGTTGAGGATGAAGGTTGTTGGGGGATTGAAGGATATAAAAAGGCAAAGAATGAGGAAGGTCGGGTTGACCTAGTGAAGGAGGACCCTTGGGCAGGAGAGTGGTTGATGTTGAAAGCACCCAGAGAGGAAGTGGGGAGAGAGTGGAGTAGACAGATGTATAGAAAACCGTTTATGAGGGGTCTGTTGGATATGGAAGAAAAGGGTTGTAAGGAAAAGCCTTCAAAAAGAGCGGGCGAGTCAACTGTTGCATTTGCTGACAAATAAAGAATTGCCTTTGATGAAAGACGTGGTTGTTTCCTCTGTGGCTGAGAACCCCACGGAGGAGGCAGGCAGTCGTGGTCGGAGTCACAGAATGTGGGGCCAGGGCCCCACCTTCCAATCCCACAGAGCGTGGGATCCAGTGGGCCACCTCCATTCAAGAAGTAGTTTGGCAACCTGGATTGTGTCTGGAGGGGGGTGACCAAAAGGGTCAAAGGTCTGGAAGCCATGTTCTACGAGGAGCGGCTGAGGGAGCTGGGAATGTTTAGCCTTATGAAAAGGAGGTTGAGAGGGGACAGGATACCCAAGGGATGTCATATTGAAGAGGGGACAGGTTTGTTTTCCATGGCTCCAGACGCTAGGACAAGGAGCAGTGGTTTCAAACTGCAGAAAAAGAGATTCCACCTGAATCTCAGGAAGAACCTCCTGACGGTCAGAGGAGCTGTCCGGCCATGGAATAGGCTGCCTCGAACAGGTGGCGGAGTCTCCTTCTTTGGAGGTGTTTCAGCAGAGGCTGGATGGCCGTCAGTCAGGAGTGCTTGGATGGGTGTTCCCACATGGCAGGGGGTTGGACTGGATGGCCTCAGTGGTCTCTTCCAACGCTGTGATTCTATGAGACTATTCCACACATGCTCAAACAGGCGATGGAAAGCAATGAAATGGCCCAAAGCCCAGGGGACTCTGGTACTCACACCCTGCTTGACTGGCCTGGTGTAGGAAATCATGGACACCATGGAACCAGAGGAGGCCCGGGACTATGAGAAGGTTAAAACCACCATTCTAGGGACCCGAGACCGGTCGGAGGGAACCTACAGGTGGTGATTCTGGGAGCTGTGATATAAGCCGGGCATCCCGCCAAGGACACTGGCACACAAAAATATAAAGGCCCATGCTATTCGGTGGTGGAAGCTGGCGATTCGTACCACCCAGCCCAGTGGTGAAGCTGGTAGTCCCTGAGTGGATAGTGGCTACTGTCAGGATAATGGGATATGTAGCTTAGCTCAGCTGAATGGAGATTTCAAGTGTTGTTCAGTTCTGGATTCGATTCCATGAAGTGGGGGGGGATGTAAGTAAAGGAGAAAGAAGGAGGTGGGGCTGGCCCAGTCTAGCCCACCTTAGCTCAGCTGAGTAGTGTTTTATTATTTGAATGGGAAATAGTTATTTTATTTAACTGCAATGATCTTTGAATACATTCTTGATGCTAAAGCTTGTGCAATATAAACTAAATTCTAATGAAATTCTATTTTTCTAATAAAAAGAGAGGGCCACAAACTAGCTATCTTTAAGAGTCCCACCTAACTGAGCTGTTGTGAGTTCTAAGGAATCACAAAGCCCATGTGTCTATTCTTGCAAAATACTGAGTAAAGGGAAAGTGTTCTTTTTAAGGTCAGACTTGTGTTCAAAGGGCTGACGCCACGCACTGCTGAGGTCCTGGGACTTGCCCCAGCGCAAAGGTGGTCGGTCAGCGGTCTGTCGGGCTCTCTGACCGAGGGCAACTCGCCCCTGAAGGGGATTTAGTGCACCACGACAACACTTCCACAGAACATGCCGACATGGATCCAACGTCACCAGCCTGCGATGGGCTAGATGCCCTGCTGAACAGACCAGGCGGGAGTGCCGCAGAAGGAGCAGAAGAAAAAGTCTTCTTTTCTTAAGGGTAAATGCGCCCAATGCTTTCACCTTTTCTTCACTTTCTCTGGGCGACAGCCGCCACCTTCTGCCTGGAGATCCTCAGGCTAAGTGCAGTTGGCTACAGTGGCTTGGAGCGGATCTGGCCAGACAGGCAACCCAATCAATCATCACTACTGGGCTT